ACAGACAGACAGACAGACAGACAGACGCGACCGAAAACATTACCTTGCCCTTGGCGGAGGTAATAAACAACAGAAGATTTGTCCATCCAAGGTCTGGCCCAGAGAGAGAGAGAGAGAGAGAGAGAGGAGAATGAAGATAATGAAATTGTCCAGAAAAATCTAGACACTTTTTAGGAGTTTGGTCACAAATTCTGTGACATCATAGTTCAGAAAACGTAATCAAGAAAACTGAACAGGTTGAAAAATATGAACCAAACAGATAAAAGTATCTAGGCAGCACCAGCAGAGATGAAATTCTAATTTTCTGTACTCCTAGAGACTCCCAAGTACCCAACAAAATGTATTTAACAACTAAAAAGTGGATTTTGCATGATATACTGTATCCCCTTTAAGAGAAGTTGACATCTGGAGATTATCTAAGTGTAAGGAGCGATCAGAGGTCAGAAACAGATTGCAGACAAAATCTTATTTTATAGAGAAGGCAAAACAAAAACGCTGATGTGGCAGAAAACTTACAACTGCTTACACTGGGGGGGGCTACAAACAGCGGCATCAAACCAACAATGCAGAACTGATGTGAAGGTGGAGAGAAGCAGAATATATATATAGGGCTAAGGATGAGTGGGAAATTGACTGCAGCTGAGATTAATGAGGACAGAAGAAACAGGTAAAGTGGGTGGGGAAAGCTGACTGCAGAAAAAACGCAGAGGATGCTGACTGAGGGGTGAATGAGAGATGACACAGGAACACAGAGGAGTGAAACAGGAACTAACACAAAAAAATAAAGCACATTTGTAGCACAGCAAAGCACCAATGAAACTCAGACTAGGATCTGAACTGAAGGGGGGAATAGAACTGAAATAAAGCACAAGGTAAAGGTAAGCACAAGAATCCAACGATACAGAAAAAACAAAGAGGAACTAAGCAAGATCTAAAGCATAAAGAACTATAAAACAATGACTAAAATACATGGATCAGGACCCTAAGAACCCTCACTTGGTGTTTGATGATCCATCCTGCAACTTTGAAAACCACTGCTCTAAAGAAACTATTAACATAAAATAAAACCCATTTCAAAGTCCAAACCCTCACCTTTTATTGTAAAACACTGCTTTTGTCTTCCTTTTTGCCTGTAACATTTTTGTTGTACAGTTTTTGATGTGATGGCTCCATATGTCTTAAAATAAAAAACAAAGCACATCCAAGATGCATCTGATCTGAACGTGTTAAAGCCACACGTTTCTTCTATTAGGACCTATTTCTTGTTTCACTGTGACCTCGTTCATTCATTGCACTTGTGACGAGTGAGGGAGAAAATGGGATAGTAGGGCAAAAACTACTGAAGTTTATTCAAACAGATGAAAAGCCGCGAGAAAGCTTTAAGAACAGTTTGATGCATTTGAAATCAGTGCCAACTGGACATGTTATCTGCTCACTGGCACGAGACAAAGCGTTTCTCTTCAATGGATTAAAAGGTCAGGATGTCAGGCCAGTTCCCTGCAGAGGGTGACACTTGTACACCAGGGACACATTGTGTGTGTGCATGTGCACGTGCGTGTCTGAGAGAGAGAGAGAGATGCACATATGGTTGTACTTGTGGTTTGGGCATGAGTTTTTCTATTTGTGAGGTCCTGCTGTGAGGATTTTTGATTTAGGTCACATTACATTACATTGTGTTCAATAAGCAGACACTTGTATCTGAAAGAATCATGGAGAACACGTTAGAAGCGTTGCAGGTTTTTGTATTTTACCCAAGAAAACTTCAGTATTTAGACTAAAGAAATTTGGGAATCTTTATGGTTCTGGCTGAAGGATTATCACTCCATGAGCTAAAGTGTCAATAATTACTTTGTGTGATGTTGATCTGCATTAAACTCATTTTAATCCAATAAAAGAAAGATGTTTAAATTCACCACTTTGCAGAGTTGGACAGAGACATGGAGAAAAAGACAGATTTTCTGTTTTTTTATTTATTTTTTTATTTTTTTATTTTTTATTTTTTAGATTTGTGAGTTTTTGGGTTGGTGTGTTGTGGTTAGGGATGGGTACCTTTGACATTTGAATCAGTACCGGTACTTAACGGTACCAATTTTCGGTACTTTGTGTGTGTCATTTTTTTTTTAATAATAAACTTTTTTTTACATATTTCTTAATATATAAAATTTAATAAATATAAAGACAACATTCAACTCTTTGTCTTGTAACATCAGTTGTTTAACAAATTTCTTTAAAGTGAAAACTCTTGAAAAAAACTAATGCAGTGTTTTCTTATTGCACAGATTAAAATCCAGCTCCACATATTTCATTGATGTCATTTCCCTGCTAGAAAAATGTGTGATGGAAATCCATAGAAGGCAATTAATTTTAAATCAAATAAGCAAAAGAGGATGGAGTTATATAAATAAAGGTATCCATGCTAAGTTTTGAGCATCCAAAACGCGCCCAACGCAAAGTTGGCTGCTTGTGCTCTTTCAGGTCAGACGTGTTCGGACTGTCGGGAAGCTCCTCTGTTGTTTTCCTCTGCCGGTCTCTGTTTAATGGCGGATTAAATAAAGAAAGTGGCGGTACTATATTTACTTTGAGCAAGCGAACGTCGTGCTCACAAGATAATTTATCCACCAGATAATTCAGAGGCGGTCTGTTCGGTGAGCTTCACTCCAGGAGCTGCGAGAATTGCTTTCAGCTACGCCAGACTCCACTGAACCAGCGGCTGCTGACGTCATCATTACGCTGTTGCGCGATGCTGCGTTCAGCACAAGCATGGAAAATTTCCCACCTTTACGCCAATACAGTGACAATGATGCATTTAGGTACCGAAACATGGTACCATTTGATGTCACGTGAATAGGTTCTCGGTGGTGCCGACAGAATTCGGTTGGTACTTTAAAAAGTATTGAATTCGGTACCCATCCCTAGTTGTGGTTTTAGTTTATTTTGTCATGTAGCTGTTCCTTATGTTTTCTCTTTCATATTTTTATGTTATATTTTGAGTTTCCTTGTATTTGGTTTCCCAGTGTCTTCTCGTGTCATCAGCTATTTTCCTCGCAGACATTTTTGCTCTAGCTTGTTGAGTCACACCTGCTTCCCATATTAATTAAGCTCATCTGTCGCCACTCACCTCATCATTTCTTTACTTAAGCTCCTAGTCCTCGCACTTCCTTCAGTCAGTCTTTCTGTTTGCCTCCCTGCTGGTTCCTTCTGTGCCTCTTGAGTTTTTTCTGCCATGTCAGCTGTTTATTTTCTGTTTATTAGACTGTACATGACAACCTATTTCATTGGTTCCTTGTGAGTTTGTATTCTGCATCCTATTTACAATGATAAAGAGTAAAAGATTGAAGTAGTAAAGTTTTATTGTGATGATTCTGAATAAAGAGGCACAAAAAGGCATTTACATTAGTATAAATGCATATAGTGACAATGACATGTTTGGACAAGGGTTAGAAATACAACTTAAAACACTAATAAAACATAGGATCTAAGAATGCATACAAATGTCATAGCCAGGTATATCTCCAAAAACAATTCATTAAAAAAACTTGCAGATGCCATGAATAAACAAGACTAAACCAGAACCTATGCAGGACATATGACCCAGGACTAAACAGACTTATGTGAGAGCTGAAAAAATAAGCTAAGCAGGAATAGGCGATTAGTGTGTGAAAATAGGTGAATTAATTGACATGATGCCTATGGTAAGATTGCTCCACCCACACAGTCACATGACCCAGGGTAAAGAGACCTCAAACAAGCTAGACAGCTGTAATAGCAGATGCTGCGAAGCTGACAGCATTACCAGAGGCATTTGGGGAGGCTTTTTTTTTTTTACGTATAAGCCAACATTGATGCAAAGAAGTTTTCTAATGAGTCATACATCAATTCAGGGAAGTTTTTGAAGGAAATCTTGGAGAAACTGAAGTTAAAGCCCAAGTCTCCTGCAGCCAGAGGAGGAATAAAATGGTACTATAAATTGGTGCTTGCATATACTATAGCTTAGAGTAGATACTTACAAACTAGAGTTAATGCAGCGCACGTTTTCATGCAGCCACTGAGCAATCCATCATTAGAACTTTCAGTTCAGTTTTTAAATTTTCATTTCATATTACACAACCAATTAAATGTGAAATGCAAAATTGGTTCATTGTTTACAGTTCTTAGTAATCAAAGACTAAACATGTTCAACCCAAATTTGTTATGCAATTCTACACAAAAGCAATCACGTCGAGCTTTAAAATGGACCTTTCATTTAATTATATTTATTTAATATAAAATAACATAAAATCATGACAATGAATACATAGTAGATCTGCTTGTTCTTACCTTTGTACCCATAAACATGTGGGAGTTCCTGTGAGGATGGCCACAAACCTTTATCCATTGTTTACACTTCTCCAGAAATCTATTCTGCCTTCTAACCACTCAGAATAATAATGTACATGTCTGAATTGCATGTCCCCACCTATTTTTTGTTTAGATGTTTGACTAAATTCACTGCAACTGCACCATGTCGATGATGGACATCACAAGTTTTTGGAGAAAAGTAGCGGGCAGTTTCGAGAAGGGGTTCTCTGTAGGCGTTACTCAGGCGTAGGTGTTTGTCAAACAAGCTAAGCTAATGATATAAAGAAACGCCTAAGCAAAGATCCAATCAGGTGGTGTGCTTGAGTAACGCCTTTTTTGCTCGTCCAATCAGATGTGTTCCTTGAAAAACACCTTTCTTTGGAAATGCCTACTTGTCTGCAGATATATACCTACTTGGCAGTTTCTGCAGCTGGGGGGGGGGGTGTCACTTGCAGTTCAATATTAATTGCCCACTGGTCTGTTGCTGACGAGCCTACTGGCTTGATTGACAGGTGGTGTCACGTTAATTACAGTTTCTGACAGGTGTGTGAGACAGAGCAAACAGGGAAGATGTGGAGAGAAAAAAAACACTGTTCCTGATTTTTGTATTAGAGTTAAATGTTCCCTTTCAAAGTTTATTCAAAACATTTTTAAGAAAGGTAATAACCATTACGTCATTCCTTTCTTTTTTTATTTCTACAGTTAACAAGCACAAGCCATGGATCGAGACCTCCTACCATGGAATGATAACAGAAAACATGGACACAGTTCTGCTGGACCCTCCATTGGTGGCTCTAGACAAGGATGCTCCGGTCCCTTATGCTGGTAGGAAATCCAAAGTACCGAACCCTCTTTCATTTACTATATACAATTTATGTAAACACGTAATAATTTAATACATCCTACCTTAATAAACGTGTTGTAAGCAGAGCATCCTCACACTGCCTCAGATTCACAAAGGACCTTGAAGGACAAAGGACCTCAGTATTGTGTAAACGCAGCTGTGGCAACTTCACAACACAAGACAAAAACAGATGATGCAGCAGTTCTTTGTACTCAGTGGAGAGGGAATTCCATTTATCACTAGCAGTGGGGTGAAGCAAATGGTTTTCTTTACCTAAACAAAAAAAATCTCTCTTTTTTCAATGTTCAGAACACATTTAGACAAACACAAAGATATTCAACTTTTTCTTCAGTTTAATTTAACTGTGTGGTATGTGATTTGTTTAAACTGTTTTAGGTTGTGCTTATCTACTTTTAGGACTTTTGAAGGACCCCATACTGTACTTCTTGTATTGTCCTGCTATTTAAAGGTTTTAAATATAAGGAGAATTTGGTTAGTTTTATAATGGTTTTTTAAATTTGTTTTTAGGGTGTAAAACACAATAAAATGATGTTTATATTGGAAGAAGAAAAAGACTGCTGGCTCATTAGAGCTTTATTGAGATGTATAAACTTGGCTTTTATTCATCCTGGTATCAGACTTCAAAAGTATTTGAATAACACATTTTTTAAAATTATGATAAACAATATTTTTTTACAGTATTAGCTATTTTGCATTTTTTTAGCTTCAATTTATTTTGGGAATTAGTAGGTAATACTTTGATACATGTAAGAATTAACCACTGACTTTGCTTTAGTTTAGTCACTGTATCATTCAGTATATTTATAATAAAAGCCACATGAGGAATTCCATAAACCTTATTTAGTTGTTAGGATTGTCCTACTGCCTGTATGAGATAAAATACCCCGTCGTGTCCATGGAAAACTACTTAGATGTTTTTCGAAGTGAAGCTGCTACACAACTTTGGCTCACTTCTATTACCTGACATACGACACTTGATAATGACAGTCCAAGTTGCATACGAGCTTCAGCTCTAGATGATAATTATAGTGTTGTGTGTAAGAAGATGCATCATGACACAAATGTGAAGCTGACAAAAACAGGAAGAAAAAGGACAGAGAAACCTGCTTTAACTGAGACTAAGCATCTTAAGACTGAAAGGCAAACAGAAACACTTTTGACAGTTAACACTTACCAGCTCATTAGGGTGAAATAACTTCTAATAATCCAAGTGCTGACAGCCATGAAAAACTAAAAACTCAGCTATTCTCGTCTCTTATTCTTCATTGTGTTTTTATTCTAATGTCACAATCATAGGTTTGTTAGGTTTTATGAGTGAGCTGTTCTGTAAATAATAAGCAAATGCAGCAGATCTGTGTGAAATCGGTACAGTGTAACCTGAATTCTGTTGAAAATGTGCTGCAGGAGTATAGACAATTAATTTTTTTAAAAGACAGACAGTGTGTTCAGCAAAATTTACTAAAGTGAAATTTTATTCAGAACAATTTAAGACACTAAAAATACTCCTTACCATTTTTTTTCTGTCCATGCAAACAGTGTTCCAATGATTTATAGAACAGTTTTATTTTTTCTTCATAAACAAATCTACGATGCAGTGAATGTTTAATGACTCAACAACAACTAGGCTGGCGAAAAAGAAAAATCTTTTCGTGTTTCGTTTCCTCCATGATTAACATGTGGTTTGTTTGTTTATTTAAAAAGGTCAAATGTGGTGAGAAATCACCCAAGAGAGGGGGAAAAAAGGGAAAAGCTCCTGACTGGTGATATTTCTCTACTTGAATCTTTTTTTATTGCATGCAGTCTAATGAATGAAACCAGCACAATAGCTTCCAAGGAGACAGAGAAAAATGGCCATAAAAGAGCGACTCTGTTCCAATTTATCTCCCTTGGCTTAGTCTGTGTTTTGCACAAACATCTCCCACCCTCGCTCCACAGAATTTAACTAGTCTGTCAATTTTTTATCTCGATCTTTGCCCTCATTTGTGCTTTTCTCTTCACCTGACACCACATTTTTCCAGCCTCTAAAGCCAGCCATCTTTTCTCCTCTTCGCTATCTCAACTCATTGCTCCCAACAAGCTCGTACCCAGCAAGTCACTTTCACTGCCGACACCGTCATCAATCCTGGTTTTGTTTTATGGCAGAAAGGAGTCGGCTCTCCTTCTGGCTCCACATTAATTGCAGTGAAAAAACACAGATGAGGATTGTAAAGTACTTGCCTATTTGCTCCACTCTTATAACTCTCGCTTCTTTGTTCCCCCTCTCCTCTAAAGGCCTTATTTTAACTTCTTCCCTAACATTTTTTATGCACGTCCTCTTCTTTTTTTTCCCTGCCTCCGGCTCTGTTTGGCCCTCTTCTGTAGCACCACATTTCACTTTGATGTCAACTACCGACAGTGGACCGAACTTCAACAATACCGTGGCAGCCATCGTAAAGATTAATAGATTAATGTCGTTACTATGTGCCGTGATGACATCCTCTGTTCTTTGTCTTGTCCCTCCTGAATAGAAGAATAGCTGTGCATGTAGGTGCGTGTGTCGAGGAGTGTTGTATGAACTGATAGTGTTCTCAATCAAATTAGCACGAGTACTGGTGGCAGCAGGCTCCTGGGTGCTACAAGGCAAGCAGACAGTTTTATTTGCTTATTCTTTATCTCAAGGCCGCAGTCATCAGGAGCAGATTCTTTCCATTCATCGTGTACCAGAATAATGTGCTGTGGTACATTGTTTCCTTTGCCAAACTCACAGAATAGGAGAACAAAAGTAGATGAAGAATTGGAGAGTGAGGAAGAATAAATAACAGTGAAAAAAAACTGCGGAGACAAAGAGATATTTTAATGTAAGAGGAGGTATCAGCTACAGCTGCTGCAAATAAAGGCGCCTTCTTATTGTATGCACTGCATTTCTTATGAATAGTTCTATTGTCAGTTTTGTTTCTGAACCTGAACACACTGTTCCAGGCTCAACCAAGTCAATGGGCCTCATGCAAGAACCGTTCGTACGCACAGATTTGTTCTTAAGTTGTGCGTACGAGTGATTTAGGAGAATTTGTGGCATTCACCAATGT